GGGCTGTGAATTCAGGGCAGAGAATAGTAACAGGAAGCATCGCTCAAGTCTTGATCCTAAATTGTGTGCTACAGTCCAATTTTACCGGAGAGCTCAGCATTGGGAATTAGTGGCAGTGGCTTATCTATATGGTTAGTGAGGGCCCAGTAACAAGTAATGGCCCTTATTCCTTTAGAGTAGGTTTTGGGCCTGGGCATAGTGCTGAGCAATTACATGGGGAACCAATTCAAGAGAGACTCTTCAAAGTAAAATATTTTCTCCAAAAGAAAGAACACGAAGGAATACATTTCCATAATGAGGTTTTCACAATATATTTTCTCGCATAATAAGCTTTATTTTAGGACAGAGTTGGTTGAATAGGAATTTCCTGTGGGTGACACAGGAGAATGAGCCTTCATGCAGTTTCAGCCAACACTCACCAGTAGTAAGCAGCAGGTAACAAAGAAGTAGATGAGATCCCACAGCAAAGCAGAGAGCCAGTAAGTAAGTAAATAGACTCCACTCACAAACTGGATGTGCTTTGCCTTGTTAGTTCTCTCAGTCACTGTCTGAAGGCAAAAGCTACCGGCCACAAGAGCCATGCCAAAAGCCAAACATAATACTATTTCTAATCCACTTGTAGGCCTAAAGAAGATGAAATAAAAGATAAAATAAAATATGAAATAAATGTAGAATTCAGTTGATTTCAGTAGGTATTTTCAAAAGTATATGGCCAGATAGTAAGGGTGTATATTAAGGCTCAATTCCAGTAAAAGATAAATCATACGTACAGTTCGTTAGAACCATAAAGCGAGAGAGGTTGAGGCTTGTTGGAGGCTTTAATGGAAGCATTGGGGCCAGAAAGTGACATAAAAAGACTGTTGTCTAACACCGCCAGGGATGTTGCAGCTGAATGGTATGCCTCATTATTGAACAAAAGAGTAAATACTGTTTTGTTTTTCACAACCTCAATGGAAAATGCAATAATGGAGAAGTCATGACACTCTTTATTTTCCAATATGTAATTCTTTACATTACCTAGGATAAAGAGATTGGCCAATGAATTAACATATAATAAATCACCTACTACTTATGATGGAGAAGAAAGACCAAAAATCATTTTCCTGTTAATCTCTTCCCTTTCCAGGTCCCACAATGGGAACTTCAAGTGTTAACCTTTCCCCTCAAACACCTCATCAATAATGTCTACAATACTGTCATCATATAGTCTACAACTTGAAAAAATAGTAAATTACTATGCATTTCTTACTTTATTCTTGTCTAAAACAAACATTATTTTTTTCAAAATTGTTTTGGTTCTTCTAGGTCATTTGGATTTCCATGAACATTGTAGGACTGGCTTGTCCATTTTTGTAAAAGTCTGCTGGAATTTTGATAGAGATTGCATTGAATCTATAGATCAGTTTGGGGAGATTTGCTACCCTAACAATATTAATATTCCAATCTGTGACAGAGTATCTCTTTATGCATCTAGAACTTTAATTTTCCTGAGTAATATTTTATAATTTTCAGTGAACAAGTCTTGTGCTTCTTTTCTTAAATTTATTCCTAAGTATTTTATTCTTTTTGATGCTGTTGTGAGTTTTGGTAATCTGCATCCTCCCCCTCCCCTCCTCCCCTGCTACCCCTACTCCCCACCCAGGAACCATTTCATGGGAGTTAGATTTTAAATATTCCAAGCTGAAAAACCTTTGCCTTTTGATTTCATTGTTTTCGTCATTCATACTTAAAGTAATTACTGATATGCTAGGATTTATATCTGACATTTTGCTTTTTGTTTTCTAAATGTCTTACCTCCTTTTTGTTCCACTGTTTCCCTGAACTGCTTTTTTTGTGTTAAATATATATATATTTTATAGTGGACCAATTAAGTTCCTTTGTTGTAGCTGTTTTGTAAATAAGTTTGCCTTTTTTTTTAAGATTTCACATATGAGTCATATCATATGGTACTTTTGTTTCTCTTTCTGGCTTACTTCACTTAGAATGACAATCTCCAGTTCCATCCATGTTGCTGCAAATGGCATTATTTTATTCTTTTTTATGGCTGAGTAGTATTCCATTGTATAAATATACCAAAACTTCTTTAGCCATTCATCTGTGGATGGACATTAAGGTTGTTTCCATGTCTTGGCTATTGTAAATAATGCTGCTATGAACATTTGGCGTGCATGTATCTTTTTGAATGAAAGTTCCTTCTGGATATATGCCCAGGAGTGGGACTGCTGGATCATAAGGAAAGTCTATTTTTAAATTTTTAATGAACTTCCATACTGTTTTCCATAATGGCTTCACTAAACTACATTCCCACCAAAAGTGTAGGAGGGTTCCTTTTTCTCCACACCCTCTCCAACATTTATTGTTTGTGAACTTTTTAGTGATGGCCATACCTCATTGTGGTTTTGATTTTCATTTTCTGATAATTAGCAATATGAGCATTTTTTCACATGCCTATTGGCCATTTGTATGTCTTCATTGGAGGATTGCTTGTTTTGGTTTTCTGACCATTTTTTGGATTGGGTTGTTTGTTTTTTTCTTATTAAGTTGTATGAGCTGTTTATATATTCTGGAAATTAATCCCTTGTCAGTTTCATCTTTTGCAAATATCTTCTCCCATTCCATTAGGTTGTTTTTTTGTTTTGCTTATGGTTTCCTTTGCCATGCAAAATAAATAAAAATATTTTTGAGTTTACCATACTTAGAATTCATTGAGCTTCTTGGAGGTGAATATTAATGTTTCCCATCAAATTTTGGAAATCTTCTGGCATTATTTCTTCAAATATTTTTCTGCTGCTTGATCAGGTTCTATACTATGCTTTCTGTTAACTCCATTATGCATATATGGTCTGCCTGATGTTGTCCCAAATATCTCAGAAATTGTTTTTCCCCACTTTTCTTTTTTTCTGTTCCACAAACTAAATAATCTCTGGCAACCCTCAATTTAGCTAATCCATTATTCTGCCAATTCAAATCCATCACTGAGCCTGTCTGGTAAATCTTCATTTCAGTTATATTTTTCAACTACTGAATTTCCATTAAAATTTTTATTTATATTTCTTTATTAATACTCTCTTCTTGGAGAGATGAAGTTACCATACTTTCCTTTATTCTTTAAACGTATTTCCTTTAGTACTTTGAAAATATTTGTATTAGCTGTTTTATAGTCTTTGTCTACTACGTTTAACATCTGGCCTCCCTCAAGTACAGTTTTTACTGGCTTTCTTTAACCCTGTTTATGGGTCATACTCTTCCATTTTTTTTTTTTCTGTTTTAGTTTTCTAGGACTGTCAAAACAAAGCACCACAGGCTGGGTTACTTAAACAGCAGAAATTAATTTTCTCACAATTCTAGAGACTAGAAGTCCAAGATCAAGGTTTTAGCAGGGTTGGTTTCTTCTGAGGCCTCTCTCCCAGGCTGATAAATGACTTTCTTGCCCTCTGTGTCTGCACATGGTTTTTCCTATGTGTACGCATATGTGTCCTAATTTCATCTTCTTATGAGGACACCAACCATATTGGATGAAGTTCCACTCTAATGAGCTCATTTCAAATTAATTACTTCTTTAATGATCTAATATCCAAATACAGTCCCATTCCAAGAAACTGTGGCCTCGTACTTCAGCATATTAATTTTGGAGGTACACAATTCAGCCCGTAACTCTTTCTCTTCTCTTTCTGTTGTTGATGAAAAATGGACATAAAAGATAGTGTAACAACTCTGGTATCTTGAACTCCCCTCTCTACCCTTTGTTGTTACTGTTCTTTTTTTAATTGTCGGTGCTTATTTGGTTAATGACTTAAGTGGACTAATTCTGTAGATTCTGTATTTTCTACAGTGTGCAGCCACTTATTTCTCTGATGGACTTAAAAAATTCTGGCTTTTATTTTTAAGCCTGGCTCCTAGGTGGTCTGTCCTGAATCAGTATAATTTAGTACTCAGCTAAAAGACTCATTTAAATATCTAGAACCAGTAAGTCTTCCACTCTTTGCCATGGGGTTCCCTGCATGAGGGAACATATTCAAATTTCAGACAGTTTACAAGTAAGCCTCAACTTTCATATCTTGCTTGT